TAGTGATTAGTGCTTGTTGTAGTTAATTGGATATCTTCATCACTTCTGTCTTCTCAATGTTCACATGAAGCCGTCTCCAAAATCTAGATCTTCTAGTCGATCCAGCTTATACTTTTCTTCTCACTACCCAAGTTCTGCTGCTGCATGATCCAGACCACCACAAACAGGAATGTCATCGGTGACAGTGGGCAGTCTTGTCTTAACTTCATAATTGACGTTTCCATTGTGGATCACTTGAAATGCAGCACTGTCTTACAGCTATTAAATATGGTAGACAAATGTTTGGTTATCTGCACTGCATAGTGCTGCAGTAGTTTCCAAATCGCTTTCGCTACCTTTCAGTGAAAATTCAACACACTGAAAGTAGTTATGTATGTATGATGTCGGCGTTTACATTTGAATTAAGCAGACCGGACCAGTGGTATAATTCGTTTCTTTTTATGGTTCCGGGTGAGTTAAGTTGTACAAATGCAGCTTCCTCTGTTTTGAGTGCTTTAAAACCACCACTTTTGTTTCAAGGCTACATGATAGGAAGTGGGGAACAATCTATCACTGTTTGTGTGTATATTGTATTCCCATGTCACCTGTTTTCTTGTGCATAAGTGAAATATATTTGCTTCTAATTTTTTCTAGCCGTGTGCTTCCTTCTGAATCTCTACATAGACATTTTCAATCACTGTGATATAAAATCCTCAGTTGACAAAAATCTGACGGATATCGAAACAGCTTTTCAAGAGAAGTTACATGTCGACGCTTAGAGATAGGGTAATGATGGATACTGTAGATAAGAAACCTTTGTACCCCAGTTTGAATTACAAAGGGAAGATTGTGGCAGGTATTCGAAAATGTTGACTTTATACGACGACTGAAATAACATTCCCTGCAGCTGAACTGGTACTCAGTTTCTGAACTAAATCACTACTCACACGTTGAGTCAAGGGTGTATTGCGAAAGACAACCTTATCAATGTGCATCTGTGTAAGCAACTGTTGTTGTGGAGCTACTTACGTAATGTCGTAGTCAAAGGGCCCCATCCATATGCTCACATAAACATTTACCTGTTTGGTTGGGTAAACAGGAAACTGAATACCATCTTTGTAGACACTGGATATTGAATAAAACCAGAGAAGGTGTTCTTGTTTATCTACCGTGTTTCTGGTAATCTCTTTTCAAGAGATCAACTACGTCTTCATTTGACAGCTGAAGGGGTAGGCGAAGAGGTAGGTACAACCGCTTTGTTTGCCTCGGTCTACAATAAGGTCAACAAGTCCTCCTCATTATAAAACTTGGCGCTTCCAATCCCTATCCCATTTTTTTCTGCTTTTTCCTTCGTTTCATTGGCAAACTTTTACTTCAGACCTTTTACGACTTCATCACCTGCATTATTATGTCTATTACCATAGGTGTGAGTAACGTTTTCCAAATTTGTTCTTGAGTTTAAACAATCGTCGTCATTCCATCTCATTAAATCCATTATTACTTGATAATCGTACACTTAATAGTACTTGGATTGATCCAATCTCATGATTGTTGTAATATTGATGGTAACATGATAGAGAGTAAGTCAAGTGTTTCTTATCTTGGCATTAGTTTCTCTTCAAACCTTTGCTGGTCGTCTCATATTCTTATAGTTTCTAAAAAGATTTTCTGTCTGACTTATTACATAAAGAAGTTGAGGCACTCAGGTATGACCCAATCTCTTCTCATACAATTTATTAATTCATGTGTTTTGCCCATTATTCTTTATTGTTCTCCATTATTCTTCCCTGGGCTACTCAAAAAAGACCATATAATACTACGAAGAACATTGAAGGCTGTAAGTAGGGTCAGTGCTATCCCTTTGACTCAACTAGCCGACACTGTTGTCAATAGGCACATGAATTCTTGTAAACACTTAGCTAAAGTTATTTTGTTATTATGATAGTGAACATCCTCTTTATTCACAATTGTTTCCTTGTATCTTTTTCGGGTAAGACCAGAAGAAATTTCATAAACATTTATGCTCGTACTACAAAATATAAAAATTCGACCGTACCATATTTGGCACGAGTATTGTGTGAAGAGACGAATATCAGAAAAGAACTTTTACAACTTTTAAATCATTAACTAAACTATAAAATGTAATGATGCATGTGTGATTTGTTATATTATTTATTTATTATTCACTATGACCTAGAAATGGTGTGATTTTGTTGGGGTTTTTATTTTTTCCTATTAATTATCAATATTTTTAACACTTCATACATTTATATAATTATAAAAAGAGCTAAACCAATGCAATATGTAAAATGAAACGCTGAAAATTCCATGCTGTAAATTGTTATTGTTGTGGAATAAAGTGATTATTATTACTATTTTATGTTTAAACCATACGATCGTTAATATCTCATCATTATTACTGTTACTTGCCAGTCTTGAACTTACGTCTAGTCTATTCCATTTGTTGGTTTATTTCTCTGTCGAATTCATATTGTCTCTCACACCACTGACCACCTTCACCCTGAGGACCTGTAAGTTTGTTGACTACAAATATACGCACATCACTGAATGATTTCATCTCATGTACTTAATGACCATATATACTATTCGCAAACTTACGGTCTTCGGGAAACCTGTTTTGACTTTCTAGGTAACTTTGAATGAATTATCCTTACCTTTTAAGTAGCCAGTGTCGAATATTTGTTCAATTAAAGAATTCCTTAACGATCCACTGTTACCTTTCTCTAGCTAAGCGGCATAATTTTGCTTGACTCTTTTACATAAAATATACAATGAACGACCTAAATATCTCGTTCCACTAGAGCAATTGATTGGTACATATACAGAGAAGTGGTAAAATGCAATGGTTTACCCCCACAGTTATTGGAGAAGATGAGGCAACAGGAGAGAATACCAGTCTTAATGCAGAAACAAAGAACGTTCTTTTCAGGGTGTTTGATATTTTCTTCTCTGGTACCAGACAGAAGGTCGCCTTTGAATGCCACATCCAAGTACAGCATCTCTTTCGGTACGGAGATAGGGTGTTCTTTGCTAGTTTTGGGCTTTATCTACAATGCTTTGGAGGGTTGGACGGGGGCATTCTCAAAATAAATACGTCCAACCGCTGTTTCTATCATAAAAGGTAAATTCCCTCAATATTGACTATCCTATACATTTTTTATCCGAACTTCCTGTTTATTATCACATTTTATTCCCTAATTGTAATTTTAATAATTTCACCATCCATCCGAAATAGTTCTGCAACTTTCTCACTCATCCACTATGTATAGCCTAGTCGATGACTTCACCGAAACGAAAATTTGCTTCGCTGAATAATATTTCCCTCTTGAAGTTTTCCAGAGTTATCTGACAAAGATATGTTTATGTCGGTGTTCCTGTGAAGTTTCTGTCGGTGGTTAGACTGACTTCCCGGATGTAGGATAGCTGGTCCTGTGTCAAACCTTCCGATTTTTCTCCGGTTAGAATACTAGCGAATAAGTAAACGAGGCTCCATATCGAAGACCCAATGGCCAGGTTACCAAGAATTATTTTTATTCCTTCACGTTCCCAGTGGAAAATAGGGCACCTTCAAGCTAGAGGCTTGAAGTTTCTGTAGAAGTGTTTATTTTTACAGGATGAGGTTGCTAGCCTCATGCCCAAACTTTCCTCTTTACGCGTTCTATCTCCCGCATGAAGTGGTATAATAAGGTGAGCAATATTGAGGTTAGGCGTCGGTCGAGTGCTAGGTAAGGAGGGGAAATCAATCGACGAGGCTGTGAAATTACATCCACTGAGATGGTTAGGACATGTATTACGCATGTTTAGCCTAGCCATCGTCTTCCCCGACGGGCAATGTTAGCTCATATAGGGTCAGGCTGGAAAAGAGCTAGCGGTGGTCAAACGAAAACATGGGACCAGTCAATGAAATCTACAACAGCTAGTCTAGGCCTCGTAGGAAGGTGTAAACTTCCTGACTGGTTGGGGTCGTCGGGACGGTAAAAACCAATGGTTGGAAACAATTGGTGACATGGCTCAAAATCGTTCTCAATGGCTAGCGCAAATGCATCCACTCCTTGTGACTTATGATTCCCAATGAAACTATATTGTTCTTCGTTATTACTATTCCTTTGTCTCACACCTCTGTTTACTGTCTCCAATATGCATTTCTTCTCTTGCTTTGTGCGCTACATGGAGTGTGGCGACTTGAACTGCCGCACATATGTGCAAAGTTCTAGGTCGAAAACAGACAGACAGCTATTTTTTATTACTGGCTAAGTGAGGTAAAGGACTACGTCAGCCAGGGTTAGAACCCCGGACCACGTGCATGTTCGTCGAAGGTCCTAACCGCTGCACGTCAGCAAGAATTAGCTACAGGAAACTCGGGGAACGAACTTACTACTCAACAAATATCCAGAAAAAAGGGGAGATGGATCAGAAAGACACTGACGAAACCACTGAATGACATCGCTTCAATGGAACTCGAATGAGAAACGACAGATGGGGCGTCCGAGTGTGGGACATACAGCAGATCGTGCGGAAATATAGACAATCGTACGCCCAGCTTATGAGGGCCGCAGAGAATAAGACAAAGTGAAGATGTGCTTTTCAAGTCCTATGTTCCCCGAGGAACCTCAGAGAACAATATTAATATTAATAATTCTTTACGTCCATTATATCAAGACAATTGTCAATAAGCACACACACAAAAACACTTTTTTTCATTTTAACAACACAACTGACACAAATATATATTTCGCTTTAATAACTTTTATTAAAAATAACAAATTTCGATATGTTTTTTGTTAAGAATTACACGAAAAAAACAAAAAAAACAACGTTTCCTATAGTATTTAGAGTTAGATATGTAGAAATATATTTAGAAACAGATCAATACAGCTCAACTCAACGACATTTTCATCAACATCAGCTGTGTGATCATGTAACATTTTCAATCACCAGCGTCATTACAGTCGATTGAGTGATTCATCTGCTTCAATGAAAAAGGGTAGGTGGATGGAATGCTACTGGTCATTTGCTGTAAGTTGTTTTCGTGGGGCAGTGATTTGTGAATGAGGAATATCGATAATTTTTGGATTTTCAGTTAGACTGGCTTCTTTTTTACTGGCCTCTATTACATCACCGATTATCCATGATGGACAACCAGTTTCAGCAGTTAACTCTTCACAGAAAGACTGGGCAGATTCACGAGGTAGAATGATCAACAGACCGCCTAGATTTGGGGAAGAGAAAAACATTCTTCTTTAGTTGAACTGAAATAAATGACTCAGAAATTGTAGCAAATTGTATAATTGCGATTTTATACAGACATCAAAATCGAACAAACCAATATATCATATCAATACAGCAAAAACAAAAGAAAAAGAATATGCTATGAGCATGGAGTACTACTCTTCAGGGGAAACTCAGCGGCAGATATCCTGAAGAGGAGAATTTCTAGTTTCCTAAGGAAGATTACTCCTGCTGCAACTAGAAGAGGGATATTCCCTAGCGGCCCACTGTTTTCTAAGCAATGTGAAGGACACACGCCCACTTCACCTGCTCCTGTGGATCTGGGTACATAGGGTCGTTCTATGCAGGTCCTTTGAAACACGTGTTACAGAACAGTACTCAGCATGGCTGCAAAGAGGAGACACTGGTTCAATTAGAAACGCCATAATTCAATACCACATCGGTACCTGTCACAACATCTCAACTGACTCCTCATTCAGGGTCGTTTACAAAGCAAACAAAAAGCATCAACCAAACGCGGTGTGTTTCCAACTTCCTCATACTACAAAAGCCCTCACCATATATGCATCGCAAAACTACAGATAAGTACTCAAAGGGAACTAGTTCAACCTCTCAATTTACCACGGCTCTAGTTTGGTTTGACCTCTTAGTCTTCACTGTTTCATTGCCTTCATTTTGGTTAGAAAAACAACTATCATTTCAAATTGTTTTCACGCTCATTCCGCTCACACAAACACACACACACACATACCAACACCAGTCTTCCGTAATAACTAATTTGCATATTACACAACTATTTTCTAATCCCCATCTCGACATTTAGAAAACAGAAAGATTGAGCGAAGAAATATTTACTTTTTATTTTAAGATGAACAATGAATGTTTATTTCTTATTCAATAAGGAATATTACAGACAAATTGATGGTGTAGCTATGGGTTCCCCATTAGGTCCAATCCTAGCTGATTTCTTCCTCGCTTAATTAGAGAATGGACTACTGAAAGGAGTAATTAATGACATGGATTTCTACTGTCGATATACGGGTGATACATTTCTGGTTATGAAAGACGAGAATGATGCAATGAACATCCTTCACAAGTTTAATGATGCACATTCAGCAATAAACTTTACTATAGAGAAAGAAAGTATTGATAGCATCTCATTCCTAGACGTCTTCATGGTAAGGAAAGAAGATGACACACTAAGAAGGAGTGTGTATAGGAAACCTACAACAACAGGTGAGTACACTTATTGTTTGAGTTTTGTACCTTTGGAATATAAGCGTAACTTGGTTAAGTGTCTGGTTCAGAGCTAGGTTAATCTGTTCAGACAACTGCCTCAATGAGGAGCTTAAGATTATTAAAGAATTACTTAGAAAAAATGGTTATCCAGATAAATTTATTGAGAAGAATATGAATTTAGCATCAAGCAGAGTCAGTGTGGCAACAGCTCCAAAAAGCCTTCATTCATAAAACTGCAGTTACTCGGTGACAACACAGCGCCTGATGAATGCAGTTAAAAGAGCTTATTATGCAGCAGAGGTACGTTGTCTCTTCACAACCACCCCTATTCTACGTTCGAGAAATAAGGATAAACTACCTAAATTTGCCTCTTCTATGTGTATCTACCAGTTTGACTGCAGCTGCGGAGCCAGCTACATTGGGCGTACAATTAGGCAGGTTCATCATCGTATTTCCGAACATCATCCAACATGGTTAAGCAAGGGACAAACAAGATCTATTCGTAGCAGCTCTGTTGTAGCACACCTTGTAGATAGTGAGCATAAGATTGATGTTAATACTGCATTTAAGATTATTTATCGCATTCCTACTAATCTTAATTTTGCTCTACAAGTTCATCTTCTACATACAGCTGAAGGCATAGGAATCCACCTGAATAAGCCAAACCCTTGTGTTGAGAGGGAATTTGTGCAGCCACTTACCTTGCCTTGGCCATCGTTACGTGAATGTATAAACGGGACCTTTAAAATTATAAAAATTATGATTGTCCAAATTATTTTATTATTTTTTCTGACCACTTCATCTTTAATTACGTGTTATCCTTGTAAAATTAATTTATTCTAACCATTTCTATCTTTTAAATGTGTATTGATTTTCTTCGTTAATTATCAACCCATTGACATTTTGACACTGACTAATTATTGTTAACAAACATATCAGTGCCACTTGATTGGTAAACTGTTGTGTATTGTAATAAAAATGCTATGTATATAATATTAGAGTAGAGCCGGAGATGAGGATCTAATTGAAAAGTAAATATTTCTTCGCTCAATCTTTCTAGGCCCCGTGTAATCTATATTCACACCTTCAAACTGCCATATCCAGTTTAAAATTATTATCACCTTCCACCTGCTTCCTTATATGGAATTAAATAATGGTGATAATAATAATTACTGTGTCTATATATACTTATGCATATTAATTACGACTGTACAGCTGCTATTGACAATGAAATCGCTGAAAACACAGGTGATCTCTGCTGAACTTCTTCTTCAGTTTTTCTCACAAACAACAACATTTACCTGATGTTTCTGGTGATAATCCTTGGAGTAACTTCAGACGATCGTTTAGTGCCTTTGAGATTAGCGCACCACCGTCCAGACATGGCAAGGTATGGATTTTGAATGCTAATTGATTCTTTTCTTGAACTTGTACCAAATTGTTGGCATGACCGAGAAGACCAAAACCAGTCACATCAGTACAACCATGAGCATGGTATTTATGCATCAGTCGAGCACCTATACACAATACACACAACAGAAAAGGCGCAGTTGGCATCTAAACACGTTATCACATTTACATAAACATTGTATGCATGCATACATAATATACAAAAGTAAGAAAAAGTATGACTTACTTGATGAAACGTGTTTATCTTTGTCTTAATTGTCTTAACATTTCTAGTAATTCGAAAGCCTTTTATAACCTCCATAGCAGAAAATGGCGAAACAATAAAAGCACTTCGTATAGTGATGGATTTATTGATACTGCTGTACTTAGCAAACAAGGCTTCAACTGATTCGGATTGTGAGGTCGATTGTTACTTCCCGGCTGCCCACACCGTGGAAGTTGGTTGCGTCACCGCAGAGCCCAGGGGACCAGTCACACACGGCCTGTTTTTGTTTCTTGTTTTTCATTTGGTGTGTCTCAGTAGCGTATTTATCACTTCTGCCCTGTGACACGGCAACAGGAAGCGCGGTCGTTGTTAATCCGGGCCCTGACTGATCCGGGATGATATTTTGTGATTTATTTGAAGTCATAGGATTGGATTGGGTAGCTGCTTTTTGTCTAACCGCTATCCAAACAACCTTTCTGGCATGGTAGGACCTCAAGCGACATAAGTCTCAGCCAGTATAGCTTATTGGGTCATTGGGGTGTTCAAGCTCGACCACCACGTCAAGGTAGCAGCGTCAACTGGACATACAGAAGATGCAGGTGATGAAGATAATAAACCAACCAACAACAACAAGAACTAGCACCAATCACTATAAACGCAAGAAATTCGAAGCATGTAGATCACTTCCTTCACTTTTCTTATCAACTGAAGGCGACAGCTCACGGATGACCATGTCAAAGTCAGCCACCATCAGAAAGGCAAAACAGACCTTCATCACTCTGATAAAATCAGACACCTACCTGGCACGCTCGTCATGAAAAGCATTTCCAGCAGTTTAGTTTAAGCGGACTTTTATCATTAGCTGCTCCCTTCACCGGCTGGCTGGTTGGCTCCATACTGAAGACCAAATGGCCCCCAACAACGAACCTAATCCTCAACAAGAATGCTGAAGAAAGTGAAGACGGATCAGATACACACTGAGGCGATAGTTGGGTGACATCACGTCCCACTGGAACCCAAGTGGAGGACGGTGAGTTAGACGTGAATCCAAGGGTGACATCGAGTAGATCACGTGCAGAGAAGATGAAAGCTTATGGTCAATTGTAAGGTCAGCTGAAAAGGATTGTTGAGAACAGGACAAAGTGGAGATGTGCTATTGAAGCCCTATGCTTCACTAGGAAACAATCAAGGGAACATTAGTAGTAAGACTTAGTATGGTGGCTGGTTTATTTATGGATTTATTGCTACACTCAGCAAAACAAACTTATTCACAATGATTCGTTCCAGTTGCAACATATAGGGATTGACATCTGAGCTCCAGCAGCCTTGATTTTTCTTTGCAGGATGGAGTTGCTGGGCTCACATCCAACCTTCTCTCTGTTTACCGTGGTTACCATCTACTAAGCGAGTTTCGGTAGTGAGTCAGTCCAACATTGAATATCTGACCGCGTGAGGCGTGTTTGGACAGCATTGTATTCTACCATTGAACCACTACTGCTGCACCTACCCTAGGTTTTACGCTCATATATTTGTCTCTAACTGGCAAAGACACATAAAAGTAGTATATTATTATTATTATTGTTTCCTTTAATTCATAGAGGAACATAGGGCTTCAGCCGTGCGTCTCCATTGCGTTCGGTTCTCTGCTAGAGTCTTCACCTGGCTCCATGTCTGCCCACACGTTTTCATCTCCTCTTCACATGACCTCCTCCATGTCACCCTCGCACTGACGATCAACTCGCCGCTTCCCTTTCGGGTTCCACTCGAGCAATGGCTTGTCTAGTGATGTCACTTGATGGTTTCCTCAGAGTATGGCCAATCCATCAATTGCATTTCTTCGTGCTTATTTGTTTCACAATCGGTTCCTGGCTGGTTCGCTCTCAGAGATCCCTGTTGCTGATTTTTTCTCGCCGACCATCTGATCTCGAGTATTGAGCGAAGACAACTGTTAATGAAGGTCTGTAGTTTGTTTGAGATGCTCTTTATGACGCGCAGTGAAAGTCTCTGATCCGTATAGTGAGTAGCACTGACTTCACATTAAAGTTGAAAATCCACATCTTATTTTTGATGCTGAGTGCTGTTGACCTCCACACAGACTTGAGAGTAGTGAAAGCTTGTCTAGCTTTTCCGATTCTTGCTTTGATATCCTCGTCAGTTCCATTCGCCTGTAGTTGAAACGATGCTTCCCAGGTAGGTAGGTAAAGGAGGTTGTTTCTTTCAGGTTCCTGCCATTAATGCTGATTGTTACTTTGTTTAAATTACACAGACAGTTTCTATGATAATCAGAATGGCCTGTTTTTTAAAAGTCATTTCTAAAACTGCCATATGCTGGTGAATGTAAAACTTGTCTTAATTGGCACTGTAAACGGTTTATCAGCAGAATGTTTTAAGACTCACTCTACTCATTTGTTGATGATGATGATCGATATTTTTTTGTAAATCTAGCCTTCCAACAATTCGTCCTAGGTTGAGACTCTTCATCGGTAGGCACCCACTGTCAGGGTTTGAACCCGGTTACAAGGCGAGCTCGTAGACCATTCAACCACTGGCACCCAACCCAACCCGCCAATCAATCCGAACTTCTGCGAATTCACAATACAGCGCAACCACTAGCAAGTGTCATTAGCTCAGGCTTTTCAAAGCCTTTCTCTAACTGATGCCGGCTCATGATGAACTCCTGTAACCAATCAGAAATCTCTGCAAACCAACACTTGAATATTGTTATGATTAGTACTTTTATTTAACCAGCATAACAAACGTGTTTCAAGCTAAAACGAGGTATTCAATCATATAAATTATAAATGACTATTAACACTCCTTTACCTCACTAAGCCAACATTAACTGGAGAAGAGGAAAGGTTGGGCATGAGGCTAGCAACCCCATCCCGTAAAAATAAACACCACTGCTACAGAAACTTCAAGCCTCTAGCTTGAAGCCCTATGTTTCACTGGGAACGTGAAGGAGTAAATAAATAATAATAATAAATGACATAAAACAGTTTTTCTACATTATAAAACAAGACAAAACAAAGCCAACCTGTACGATTCAAATGACACATAGACATGGTGGCAGCATGAAACAGACTCTTCACTTTATCCGCACCGATCACATTGCATAGATTTTCACACCATGACGGAGTTTCTTCCAACATCCAGTAGTACACTGAGACGGCGACTTGAGTACCCAAAGGTTTAGTGAGTACTAAAACATCACCGACTACAGCTTGATTAGGCCTGTCAGAAGTGGATATGCATGAAAATACAAACAACTTGAAAGAGAGGTTTAAACAAGGGAAAGAATACTGGCATGAGAAATGTCAAAGTTAGGTTAGCGCTAACGAAGCAAAACAAAACAGATAATAGTTGCTACGACAAAACGGCTTTTATTATTTGTGAAAGCTGTTCCCCTGGAATCGCAAAAATGGACTATTCATCACTGCACTTACTTTTTTTTGATGTAGTTGTGTTTTCTGAGCTAGACGGCGATTTAACGGCGAGGCTTCCGCTGTCCTCCTAGACAACATTCTCAGCGCAAGGTTTTGACTATGAAATGAACTCATTTGAATTCTCCATGAACGGCGATGTAATTGTTCCTGCTGACAACCATTATCGTTACTGGTTGTTCATTCACGTGTCTGTTGGCCATTTTCATTATTGACTTGGAATTTCAACTTTCTTGTCATGTAACTTATTTTTTTTATTAGTTTGTAAATTCGCTCTATAGTAATGTGTTTGTTAGCCGTCGATAGTCGTCCGAGTACCTGACTTCTAGAGATTTCCTGACATTGCTTTTAGTGTTTCCTCTATTAAAAATTTCTACAGTTTCATCATCAAAAATTAGGTTGAATACCTCAACCTTATGCTTGAACTTTAAAGCCCAATTGGTACACATGAAACGACATGGTTATCTATCTTGATATAAGTATAAAACTTGGACACTGGAGTTGAGTATAACTCTATTATGGATAAGATTTTACTTTGATAAATCATACACTGTTATACAGTAATATTAACTGATGACCACCGTTCGAGCACAAACTGTGGTGAGAGCTGGCTGCTAGCCAAAGTTGGTAGACAGTAATTCACGTCAATGTTTATGTTCCCAATATTGGTGGTGAGAAAATGAGAACAATGGCTTTGCATAGGCGGATACAGTTAGCATATGAATGACCTCAAACAGCCACAAAGAGATGCAAGGTTAACTTTCTGTGAGAAACAACCAATCAAAAGACTGTATTTTCTACTAACAATAATCTACAATAATGTACATTAAAATCTATAAATATGTGTTGATTTTCCTTAATAAACGATCTGTTGCCTGACCCTTGTCTTCTGTTGTTACAAAACTATTGCCACTCATAGCCATATCAAGTTACTCACACAACCTTTTTCCTTCAATTATATACATGTGTGGAATTGACCAGATATCTGAATAAAAATCAATATGGGATAATGTACATTCAGAAATAATAATATGAGTGTTATTGATCAATTACAATCAGATGGGAAATAAGACGAGTGTTTTTATAAGTCATAATAAGTTACTTGTTAGAATGTTATGATGTGCTTGAATTGAAATAGAATTTTAAGATTATTTATTATCCTCCTTTGATTTGACTGGCGGTAATAATACGAGTGTTATTGACCAGTTACAATTACATTCCAACAAGTTATTTGTTTTGACTATAAAAACACTCGTCTTATTTCCCATCTGATCACAATTCATCAATAACACTCATATTATTATTTCTGAATATACATTATCCCATATTGATTTTTATTCAAATATATAGTCAATTCCACACATGTATATAAATGAAGCAAGAGAGTTGTGTGAGTGGGTGACTTGATATGATTATGAGTGGCAATAATTTGTGCTCGAAACGTGATCATCAGTAAATATTACTGTATAACACTTTATCAAAATAAAATCTTATCCATAATGGTTATCTATCTGCCTCCCAGACGTATTTTCATCAACCCAAATCATGTTCACACAGTTCACAACAACACAACGCAGGGAAAAATGAAGGCACGACGAGCATTTCACAATATATACACACTGATAAAATCTGCAATATCATTTCAGTTAATGATGATAAGTCTTTGTCCTACTACAATACTCTGTAATTAAACAATTGTGTAATTCTACCAAAAACAATACACTAATGCTTGAAATCCCAAGTGTGTTATTTTTCTCTTATCAGATAGATTTGAGGACTTCAAATTATGTGTAAAGCTCTCTAAGTGATTTTTCGGTTAGCCAAAGAATGACTGATACTACTACTCTGTGTACTGACGAATTATGTTTGCTGTAGAACTGATCACTCAACTTCGTCCGCAGTGTAGACGATATCGTTTTCTAGTGCGATAATAGACAAACAGCCAGCCAAATCAAACTTTCAATCAGTTAGCTATCAGTGACTGCCTTTTGCGCGCTAAGTGCAAACTACTGTCACAAGAATGACAAACACCTGTACCTGCATTCCTCCTTCCAGGTGAACCGCTAGACGTTCATGTACCTCGGCTACTGTGTAACGCATAAAACCTCTAACCGTATACTAATAAAATCCAGGCAGTATACGACAACCTGGATGATCACCTTTGACCATGTCACGTTGTCACTCTGCCTAACAAATGTCAGGTCTACAATGCTTCAGGGTGTACATTTTTCCCTTAAGTCCTTGAAACCTAGCCTCTACTGACTGAGAATATGCAGAGACTATGAGTGTTCACTTGATACCGCCTCCACATAAAGGTTTGCATCTCCTCGCATCATCATGTAAGCATTTCTGAGATCCGGCATCGTGTGTTTCAACACACTGAAGATTCCGTTTTACTGAGTATTGTTGTCACTTTGAAAATACCAGCTTCAGTGGGTTCGACATGTGCTGTTCGCTGTTTGGTAGTGCTCCAAATATGTCGGGAAAGCAGATTTCATACATTTATTCCCCTAATGAATTTGAACACAGCAACAACTACAGTTTTAGCAGAATAAAATGGTACCATCTTTTATTTCGTTGCCTTCTCTTCAGCTGCTTACAGGGCAAAAACATTATTAAATGTATCTACAATAACAATTTAACATACTTGCACAGAGTTCATTTTAAACAGAAGTCAATCGATCAATATACACATACACTAATAATATATATATATATATATATGCAATCTTCAACACAATTCCGATCAATAATAATCATACACAATGAAAACTTTTCAGTATCTCGCATTCGGATGAAAAATATCCAGTTACCAGGGCAAAGAAAGACTGATAACTGCTTCTTTCTGAACGCACAAATCAGGTTTTAGGTGCTTGATGGAAATGGCTTCAGCAAACTTAAGGAGAATTGAGCTCTTTTGCCTATTGATAATTTTGAACGACTTTTCGACGTCCACCTCATGACCCGTGTCAAGAAGATGCCTGGCGATGGCACTGCTTAAAGCATTTGTTCCTTTTACACGTAAGCTTTTTGGTACATGTTCAGAAAATCGTAGATATGCTCTTCTTTTTCTGTTCTTCATATGTAACTGCTCCCGCAGATACATGTAAATTTGTATATACAGTTGGAGTTAACATGAGAAGGATATCTATCGATTTTTGATTGCACCAGAGAAGAGCAAGTTGTTCGAAAGACGGGAACGAGCTTAGCTGCAGGATAGGCTATGGCTAGTGATGTACTCAGCCTTTTGTTGATCATTGCTGCAATGTTTTCGCCTTTATAATCAAGCTCAAAGTAGATTGGCTTTTTTCTTACTGTGATTTGTTTTTCATTTGCGACTTCAGATCTTCCATACTTGTTGAAAGCAGAAGAGGCAGTCAGCCAATCAACTAGTGCCGTGTGATGACGGATAGTTGTGTTAGCTCCATTATGGATAAAATTAATTTTGATAAAGTCACACAGTGTTGTTATACACAGTAATATTTACTGATGACCACATTTTGAGCACAATTTATTGCCACTCATAATCATATGAAGGTACTCACACGTTTTTATATATATGAGTGGAAATTGATTAGATGTGTGAATAAAATCAATATAAGACATGTGTGAAACAGAAAGGAAAATAAAGTACATTCGCAAACACTATCAGTTTTATCAATAATACAATGAGAATTAGGACGAGTGTTGTTAGTTAATCTACTGCGCCAGGCCAGGCCAGCTGTCAAGTGAAATGCAAATGGGAAGTGACGAGTTGGTCATCAGTGCGAGGATGAAATGGATGAGATCGTGTGAGAAAGAGGTGAAAGATTATGCGTAATCATGGACCGAACTGACGAGAATTGCACAAAATAGAAGAAAGTGGAGATGTGTTGTTGAAGCCCTATGTTACACACGGAACACAAGGGAATAATAATAATGATTGATAATACTAATAGTGTCTGCGAATGTACTTCATCTGCCTTTCTGTTTCACACATGCCTATTGAACTTTTATTGATTTCATTCATACGGCTAATCGATTTCCACTCATGTATATAAAAGAAGCGAGAAAGTTGTGTGAGAAGTGCCTTGATACGATTATGAGTGGCAATAAATTGTGCTCGAAATGTGGTCATCAGTAAATAATATTACTGTATAACACTGGGAGAACTTATCAAAATAAATTTCATTCACAATGAAGTTATACGCTTTGACGGTGCCCAAGTTTTATCTTTATAGATGTGTTAGGTTTGCTAGCACCTGTTGGTACATCACGACTTCCTGTGTTAGAAGTATGTGTGGTATTCGAATCAGTGGGCCAACACGTTATCAGTGGTGAAATTTCCTTCTTTCTTCCGTTTCTCACGAGCATGAAAGGATGAAGTATCCTTGATAAAAAATATGCTTTCTCGATGCAGTTCCCAAGTTACTCAGTTCCACATTCTCTCCTTATATATTGTGATTTTATTATATATTTGTGCAGCACATCTCTTGGTGCTCATATTGTACACGGTAAGTTTGTAGACAGTAAGATAGCCTGATTATTTTATCAGTATTATGCTGTTTCTCTGTCTGTCTCTAAGATTCAATAAGTGGAGCGGTCAACGGGCTCTACGTTGACCACTTCATTTATTTGGGAAGTACCATCACCCCCAACCGGTTGACCTCTAACGAAATCTCAGCACGGATACAGAGGGCTGGTTTCGCATATGCCAGTATACGCCGTTT